AAATAACGAGTTGCGGAGAACGGTGGTATTAGTGGCGAGATGCTAAAATTACTTGTTCGGAAACGATCTCGCGGAGAATGAACAGGAGAGAAAGCTTTACGTCGCTTTTTTAACGAGTGCTAGAACACGACTCCTCGGCCACTTTGTGCCGGGATCGTCAAACAGTTTTTTTCGTTTCAAATGTGCCCTATGTCGCCCCTTTCGCACTACCTTCGAACGGATTGCCAGCCAGACGTAACCTTTATCGACAAAACACCTGCCCTCAGTGTGTCATCATTGCTCTTCGCTAACCTTTTCCCGAGAAGTGCGCTCGAGGCTTGGACAGGTCTCGGCATTGCTGTAGTCGAAGACTGCATCGGAAGCCTTTGCGCTCTCGGTGGTTCCAAGGGATCAGAACTTCCGGCAAGGTAAAAGGACGGCCAGCTTCGAGTCGACATGCTGGAGTTGACTGCGTCCTGACCTCGGCAGCACAGAAAGGACGCGCAAACATAACTGGCATCCTGATACCCCCAGCACTCGCGCAACCTCGACACCATATCTTGTCGGTCGCATACACCGCTTATCGCCAAGAGTTGAACTGTCATTCGTATCAAGGGAAAGGCCGCGCAAAGGTACCTTTGCGTTTGTTTGCCTTCCGATATGGTTTGCTGTTGGTGTTGGGCATTTCGAGGCTGGTTATATACAAAGGCGCAAGTCCGATATATCCTCCGTTCCCTGGAGGAGCCTGCATCGACTGCAAGTCAGGCCTCTGGCAAAATGGATGATAGTGAGAATGGGACCCCAACTCGCGGTGGAAAAGTGGTGCATTCGATTAATCTTTCCATCGCCGACTGACCATGTCTTAACTGATCTGTCGCCTCGATGTCCGCATAGATCACACCTCCTCCCGACTTGCCTGACGAAATCTTTCTCGAAATCGCTGAACAACTCACAGCCGCATACCACGCTCTTCGCTCATTAGCGTCACTCAACATCGTCTGCCATTGCGTCCACAATGCCACATTACCCGCCTTGTATAGGACTGTCATTCGGTCCGCTGGTGATTCTGCATCTCTGAAAGAGGATGGCAAGGTCTTGTGCTCAAACGTAGTTCCGAAAGGATGGCGGTACACAAAGTACGTGTCATTATAAGACAATGGGGAGCAAAACGCAACAAGCTAAACCAATATTTTGCAATATGATTAGGTATCTCTTTCTGGATCAAACGACGTTCGACAAGCTGAACGCAGTCGATGTCGGTCGCGGGTGGACAACCTCAGATCCCATAACCTCACTATTTCCGCGCCTCGTTTTCCTCTCATTGCGGGTCCCTCGACCACCAAGCTGTGATTGGAGAACGTCATACAAGGCCAAAATCAGAGACCCACTGGTTATTGACAGCTCGATACATGTATTCAAGCCGATCTCCCCTTCATCACTGCTCCGCCTCTCCGTCATTGGGACTCGGCTGCGACAAACAAGTATTGCAGACGCGGTGTTTCAGCGACCGGTCCTGCTATCAGGAGATGCCGAGGCAGGTAACATCCTCCCTTCAAGTGAAAACCTGCGGTCTGTCGTTTTGGGTCCTGGTAGTACCCGCGTTGTAGATGATAACATACGCTGGATCCAATTTCACCGGGACGCATACTTTGTGCAAGATTCGCATCCGGTGGAATTAGAGCCAGCTTGCGGGGTTCTCGAGGTCGACACGGACACCCTAGGCGGCGACCATACGCTCGGCAGTCGGTCGAGATGTATCGCAAGCGGTTTGCTGACTTTGCTCGGCCCTCGAGCTGTAACCGGGGTACATCCCGACAATCTTCTACCAAAGATGAAGTTGCTCGGGGATGTAGCATTTGCGTTTGCACTGATGGAAGAGGTGTGTGCCGCCTCGGACTACAATTGTTAGGGGACTTGCTTAACTGGAAACTTCTCCGACTTTAGCTTCTCTCGAATCTGCCGTTGAGAGCGACTCTCCACGTTCTGGACACCTCTTCCACTCCTATCGCTGAGAAGCGAAGCTCGGTCGCCGCCATTGCCGAGCGATATCACCGACAGTGGGAGTCAATCGGTCTGCCTACCTCCGTCGGATATGACGCACGATTCTTTCACCTAACCTGCCCTCAACCGGGTAGGGTCACCGGTAAATCCACGTTTACGGCGATTCTTGTTCGTTCACCAAACATACCAAGCGATTCGAAAGAAGGGTTTTACCACATCCAACGAGCGCCGGAGTATAACGGTGGTTTGTATAAAGTCTTGTTTCATCAGACGGTGCCAGAGCATACAGTAACAGTGATTAATGTCTGGGACACAGACCACGGGCAGCGATAACCTGGGTCGTTCCGCATCGACAGGTCTTTGTCAATGCAATCGAAAGTTTTGAGTTTCTCCAGGTTCATGTTGTAAATTGTAATAATGACACACATGAAGGAGCCATTCGTCTACATGCAATCTATCGTTCTACAAGGAGCACACCTATTCCTCCGCTTCATCATACGGCACATACCCAGCCGCTCGCCCAAACGTTGTCTTTTCAAACATTTCCAGCGTAACCTGAGCCAAGAACCCAGGAATGCTCTGTCTCTGCTCTACCCAGTACACTCTCACATCCCCTAAACCCTTTGCCATTGCACCCATCATCTGCATGGTGCCGAAATGCCCGCCTTGCGAGGAGAACTTCAACGTCAACCCGTTCTTGCCCTTTGGTGCGTACATGGATTGGAGCCGGACGTCGGTACCATTCTCGTCAAACTTGATACGCCATCCGAGCAGGGAGAAGACGGCCTCCAGGAACTCTTTGGACTTCATGCCGAAAATCTGGTGAAGATCGAGAGAGCGAACTTTTAGCAGAACGAAGTAACTCACATCGCAGGCGTACACACAACTTACCTCTTTCAGTCTCTGAAGCCGTTTCGCATGACCCCGTTCCTTTTCCTCGTATTCCTCTTTTAATCGATCGTAAGTCTCCCTCGGCACCGTTCCTGCACTACCAGCAGAAATAGCCGGGGCACCACCTGCAGCAGCGAATTTCCCTTCCAGCTCCCTAATCTGGGTCAACAACGCTCCATTCTCCCCTCTCAGCTTCTCCAGTGTTTCTTTCCGTATCGCATAATCCTTGGCCGCTGGATTGCCAGAGAACTCGACGGCGCGCCATATGCGGGTGTTGTACTCTCCTGATCCGACTCGTAGCTCGTAATCGGCGAGATGGCGTTCGAGGGTTGAGATGTGAGAGGTTTGAGCGGATGACGTCTCCTTTGCTTCGGCGAGTTCTGCAATGCGAAAAATTCAGAAAGTGTCTGGCGACGTTGAGAAGATGTACTTACCGGCTTGCAGAGACCGCATCTGAGTTTCCGCCTGCTCATAATCACACTTCTTGACCCATCCCTGATCCGCCGCAATCCGATCCCTCATCTCTGCTTCCTCTTGCTGGAACGCATCGATAACTCCTCGGTACTCGGCTAGCTGTTCTTCCAGTTCCTTGACTCGAGCGGAAGAATCACCCGGGCCGGTTCCGCTTTCGCCGAGATGCGTACTAGTGCTTGAATGAGAACCCGCCGTACGCAATTGCTCCAGCTCCTTCCTTGCAACTTGCAACTTCCTCTCCACCGCCTCTCGCCTGCCATGTTCCCATCGACATTCACGTTCCGCGCCAACCAAACGCTCCTCGAGCTCTCCCATCATTGTCAAGCTTTCCCGACTCACTTCTCCTAATCGATGAGCGAGTTCGGCGTTTTGTGCGTTCAGATGTGCGATTTGGGACGAGCATTGCGAGTGCGAGGCGGAAAGAGTAGTGTATTTGTGTCGGAGTGAAAGAGCTTCGCTGATGGACAAGGTGGTGTTGTCATCCGAGGTTGGTGGCTCAGTCATGGTGAGTGAACTATAGCGGTAATGAAGGAATCGTCAGCGGCCATCTGTGTCACTCGGAAGCAAGAGCCTGACACTCACTCGAGTTCCCGACGACTCTGATCCAGCTGCTCCATCGCAATCTGAGCCTTATCCTCTGCCGCCTTTGCGCGTTTCGCAAGCGTCTTTACCTCTTGCTCCAAACTTTCCACATTATCCCTTCGCAGCCGCAATTCTTGACATTCACGAGACAGCTGAACGTTTGTCTTTTCGAGTGTGGCGAGGAGGGTCGATTGCCGCTTGAGTTCGCCGCGGAGGTGGTCGCTTGGAGACGAGGTGGTGCCGTTTGAGGAAGACAGGAGACTTCGTACATCCTCCAGTTCACGCTCTTTGCTCTCCAGTTGATCTTCCAGGGCCCTCACTTGCGCCTGCACCTCGTTCGCCCGCTCCAAGTCCTGGTGACTACGTTGTAGCTGCTGCTGGACCAGCTCTTCCCTCTTCTTGGCTTCACCGCGTTCCCTCTCCCTATCACGCTCCAAAGCCTCCAATCGCGCCTGGACAGCGTACCTCCCTTCCTCGGCAGTCTTCAACTTGCCCATCCATTCCCGTTCCGAGCGTTTCAGCTTTGACTTTTCCTCCTCTACCTCTTTGCGCACACTATCCTCTCCTTGCACGACATCCAACCAAGCTCGACTAATCTCGGAATGCTCCTTTCCAAGACGCGCATTTTCCGCCGTTTTCGCTGCAAGCGTCGCTTCTAGCTGGGAGATGCGTGCGCGGAGGGAAACAATGTCGGTGCCGAGTGATGTGTTTTCGAGGTGGGCTCGGATCAAAGAGCGTTGTGTTGGATGCAAGGGTGAGTCTGAGCGGGTGAACAAGGATTAGCAATGGTAGAGCTCTGCAATGAAGAGTTGTCAGCGCGCACCTGGGCTGTACCCTTCCTCGACCTTGCGCTTTCCTGGAGCGGGAGATCCAAAGTCGCTCATCGTTGGCCTTGACTCGAGGGTTGGTGACTGAAGAGCCAGATATCTGATATGGACTTGTATACTTGCGTCAACTCAGTGAGCAGGTCGTTGTCGTCCAGTTGACAGAGAAGCGTTTGTTGACAAATCGATCTTCGCGGATGGAGGACCCGTTTGTAAATATTGCTGGCGCAGGCCTTGACCCCTATCCCTGTCCTATTGGCTTAGTGGTAGAGTATCTGACTACGATTCGCATAATCGCGGCATCAGGGGGTCGTGGGTTCGATCCCCACATAGGATTACCTTTTTTCTCTCTGTTTTGTGTCATTTCATATTGTTTCTCTGTTCGTCTTTCGTGTTCACGAGATTCGCTTGTTTCTTCCCGCATTATGGAGTGATAGAAGCTGCATTTTTCATGTGCTGCATTCAGGTAGAGGGGAGAAGTGAATGACCGCCCCCTGCAGCGTACTCTGAAGAGAACGGGGCAAGGGATTGATTTGGTGCACAGACAACATTCTCTCATGCGGCAAAGCCCCGAGGGCTGATCATCATAATTGATAACCGTGTCGGCTAAGGCAAATGTGCAACGGCAATGTATGTACTTCGAATCAGTAGCCTTTCCAACCCGTTCCTGGATGTTTGGAACTTTATCTAGTGCAAATGTCGGATAGAGTAGATACTATTGGGGTTTCTGGAGAATCTGTACTGATTCATCCTTTGCCTCTTGTTTAGCTACTTAAATGGTGTCGTCAAGTTACTGAGCACGTTACGCGTTAAGTGCGGCGGTCGCATTGATCATTCAGGAGATGTACGACACTGAGTGCAGTTCTCTTCGTTTTCTTCTGCTTCTTTCATCTACTGACTCTGACATTGCCTTGGCCCGATATACAAGATTCGAAAGAGAATCCATTGCAAAGGGGCGCCAAAGCCTTGTTGGCTTTCACATCCTCTAATGATGGGGTTCGCACGAAAGAAACCCCCTTTGTGACAGTGGTCAGAGTTTTGCGCACGGTCACAAAGGGGACTAGCGCGAAGCGAAAAGTCCCACAATCTATTAGAAATGCCGGCAAGATCTGCAGCACGACATACCAATTACCCCTGCATCAACCAGCTGTCATTTCGCTTCGCCCCGATTAACGGCTCGACTATACTTAAACTGACTTCTTCGCGCTCATTAAAGGTCATTACAGAGCTTCTCCCCTAACGCATGGCCTGAAACCTTTGAGATCAGGAAGAGTTTAATCGAAGCTGAAAGGGTGGATCGTGTAGCCTTCAGCGCAAATAAGTTCCAGGAAAGGTCCCTACTGCTGTTTGATCTCTTGCTTTGCCGCCTCTATATGGACTAGACTCGATACCAAGGCAAAATCCCACTTCCGACTTTCCAGCGAAGTCAGTAGAAAACACCTCTAACAAGCTGACATGCAACAATACCCAGATGGCTCTTTTTCCTGGGAACAGTATGTTGACGAGCAGATCGAGGCAACAGGAAGTCCGCACGCCGGAATAGCTTCTACGATGGCAGAAACTTCTCAGTATTCGTCGGTCAGCATGTACTCACATATTGATCGGCCGCTCAGCAGCAGTACGGGAAGCATGAGCGCCTTTCGAGTGCAGAGCACTGTTCCAGCGATACCCGACGGGAAAGGGTCCACTACGTTGCAAGAGTAAGATAATCGCTGTCAGTGAACTGCATGGGAATTGTAAGTACTTACACTTTACCCTTTTTGTCCTCTTGCTTATTGCTTCGTACTTGTGCAGTTCTTTCTATAGTTCGCCACCTTTGTTGTAGTAGAATTTGGAAGTTTAGTTTAGTTATGGAATTAGGTTCGAGCCTGGCAAGTCTTTTTATGCTTTTGTCACTTTGTACTGAAAATAGTAAAGTGACATAGTTTTCTATGTCACTTTGTCACTTTGTCGCTTTTTGTCACTTTGTCACTTTGTGCCATTTTCGGAACAAAGTGACAAAGGTTAGGTTGTACGCCAAGGTCTCCTTAGGAGCCCTTGCGCAGGGTTGGCCTCGCCACCCATTTCTGACGTCTATATAAGACAGGCCAAATTGTAGTAAGTTTTGCCACCATGAATTATGAAACACGCTTTTTCTCCCTAACTCTCCAAGAAGCGCCTTCTTGATTGTACTAACTACCACTTTAGATAATACCTTTAGATTAGCTCATACTAGCATTCTACATATTATCTTGTGAGTTAGCCGTTTACCTGATAGACATCAGTAGTTGCGAAGAATAATCCTTTCTGACTGTTCCCACTTTAGACCTTGTACTGTATTTAGTTAGTATATTATTCCATATTATACTATTCTACATACAACGCTACACAGGCTCTTTACAATTGGAATCCTATGTGGGGATACTAGTCAGTTCACGACTATTGTAACTCTGTTTTAACGTAAACACCTTCAAGAAATTCACCACTCTCCGCCAACCTCTTTATTCGGACGCGACTAAAGATCTTTACCTCCAACAACCGGTTATCGACAAGTTAGTCGATTCTTCCTTTGCATTGCTCAGGAATCTAAAGCGCTCTATCACAGCTCAGTGTACCTGAGGTGATCCATCACTATAGCCTATTAGGACATAGGATAGTTGATACTACTATACAGCAGTACCCGTACTAGTACTACTCCATCTTCACCACTTCCATCCACATACCTGTAAAACATACAGTATGCCTCCTCGAGCTGTCCGCAGTACCCAAGCTGCCTCCAGTAACCCAGTAAGAGATACTCCTCTTGTTACTCCCTCTTCCCGATCTTCCTCGACAACTCCCTCCATTCGCAGCAACGACTCTTTGACACCTGTACCATCGACACCTGTACCTTCGACACCCGTTCATGATATCTTGGAAGCATCAACCGAGCCCGAAGACCTTCGTCTTCCGGAACCTCGACTTGCTACCGCCGCTGAGATTGAACACTTGAACGAAATTATCGCTGGATTACAACGTCAGGTCGCAGGACTGAACACTCGCGCTTCCGAACAACGAGAACGACATGCCATTTTCGAGATGGACACTCCTCGTCGAGAAACTTCTTACGCACCGACCAATTATTCCTCCGCTCCGCATCACCCCAAGCTCAAAGCTTCAGACTTACCCAAGTTCTCCGGCAAAGACAACGAAGACGTCGATCAATGGATCGAAAAGGTATCTGCTATCTTTGAGTATTCGGGCGTGCATGACTCGGACCTCCTTCAACAATTACCTTTGGTTCTTCAAGGTAACGCTCTCACCTGGTTCACTCAACTCGGAAAATTTCGACTTGCTTTAAGAACATGGCATGATTGGCAACTTGCTATTCGCAATGCCTTCTATATGCCTAACCATCGTGCAAATCTTAGGAGACAATGTCTCTACCGATCGCTTCGAGTGAACGAGTCCTTTGGCGATTACTTCGCTGACAAGAAAAGGTTGCAATCATACGTTTTCCCCGAATCGACTCCCCAGCACGAGTTGATAGAGGACATGATAGAAGGAATACCTTTAACTATGCAACCCCTTGTCAAAGCTAGTATTTCTCGCTTTACCACTATGGAAGAATTCCGAAGAATTCTTATTGACTTAGAACCTGGCCTTAGAGGCAGGAAAACATATTCTAATCCTAGAAACGTGTCCGTCTCCAACTACGAACGTACCGACCGCAAAGACGGATCTACTACCGTTTCCCAAACTAGGATGATCCGTCCTACTTATGGAAACCCCTCCGACACGTCCAGCAGCGCAAATATTTCCTCCGCTCCTCGAACGAATTGCTTCAACTGTGGAGGCAACCACTGGAGAAAAGATTGCCCTCATCCTTCGAAGCCTCGTGACGATTTCCGGAATTCTGGTTCTTCCAGACCTTCTGCAAGCCACTCGGTTAGTGACAGCAATCGCACTCCGATGAATGGTAACAAATGGAAGTCATTCTCTAAAACGACAAACGCTATTACGACTAGGGCTCGAGCTCAGCTCAAAGAACCCAGAACTCCTGCGCCTTCTCCAAATCCGGAGCCTGTCCCTGCACCACTTCCGAAGCCGACGCAGCCGAAACCGTTATCTACCTTTCCGTATATCCCACAAGACTTTCCAACAGTCTCAGGTGCTCCAATAGTTTCCACCACAAACGAATTACCCTCAGAATATAAAGATGAGGACTCGTGGAAAGACAAAACTCCTGCTTACGCAACTTGCGCTTTCGAGCGAGTTGGAGGATTCTCTTTCCCCATATGTATTGACTCCGGTTCTTCCATCTCCATCATCGACGGAAATTTCGCGAACGAATACCTGCCGAATTGTAGAAGGGAGAAATGCAGTAGCTTTGAGTTGAAAGGCTTAGGCAACGCTATTGTCACCGAGATCCTCTACACTACTCTCAACTTCAAGAATATCAATAAACCTGATTTCATTTCGATGCCAATGAAGTTTTTCATCGCTTCCAACAACACTCCCGTTATTATGGGAAATGATGTTCTCGTAACGAAGAAAGCCAATATTGACTTGCACCAAGGAATATTGATGTTCAAGGGCAATCCAGGTAAGATTCGTCTAACCTGTAGAATCCCTCAAGAAATGATGCAATCTCCGATCGCCCGAGTCAAAGCCACATGCACCATCACTCCCGGCCACATGGTGGAACTTCCAATCGAAATAGAAGGAAACATCACCACCGAGTCCTACCTACTAGAACCTGACTTTGAGTACGAAGTTCCACTAATGGTAGCTCGCTCAGTAGGATGGACCAACTCCTTGGACCATCGCGTGCAAGTCATGAACACCTCCAATAAACCGGTAGAGTTGTTATGTGGACAACCTATCGCTGCTCTCTATCCAACCATCGAAAGAGCTAAACCTCAGACCACCGCTTCCGCCTTCATAAACTTCATCAGTCGGAACGACGATGACGAAAGACAATTCCTCTCCATTATGGAAGAATTCAATATCAACCCTGAGCTCAATGCTGAAGAACGAAAACAAATGCTTGAGATCCTTTATCAAAACCGGCGCGCCTTTGCCTATGGTTCTCACAAGCTTGGCCAAACGGACTTAGTCAAGATGACGTTAGATACCGGAGACGCCGCTCCTATATCCTCCCCTCCTTACCACGCTTCTCCACACGGAAGAAAGATCATCGAAGAAACGATTGCGGAACTCCTAACAGACGATGTCATTGAAATGTCTGACTCGCCTTGGGCCTCCCCAGCTATCCTTGTACATCAAAAAGGAAAAGATCGTTTCTGCATAGACTACCGGAAAATCAACACCGTACTAAAAGGCGATCAATATCCGATTCCTAGAGTCGACGATATA